CGCGAAAAAGCTTTAGTCTCTTAATGGTTGACTTCCTAGATTCAAGTTTACTTCCAACTCCTCCTAGTTTTAATCAACAAGAAGAATATAATTAGCAAAAGCATACACCAAGGGTACATCCTTTTGCAATGTTCTAGTGAGAACATCCATCGACTAAAGCAAAAAAGATATGGGGCTTAAGGCATCAACGCAGTTGATGTACTCAAGCCGAAAAGGGAAATACTCTGGTCAAATCACTGTGTTTTGAACACAAGTAACTAGCTACTGCATACATATCTTTAATGATTTGAATATACGCTATTATAACTCCTTTTCTTTTTCAATGAACTCATAGCACTCCTCTTGGAACTTTATCTATGATCTTTCTAAATCAATAATTATCATATGTAAATCCTCCTTATTTTCTCTATATTTTCCATCAACCTCTTAATAAATGTAATGGCTTCCATAGTCGACCTAGCGTCATGAATCCAAATTGATTTTGAGAAAACATTAGTATCACGCCGCAACGCCTATGCTCATACTCGCATCCTATGTTTTAAAGGATGACACATTAACTTAATTCCTCTATCTAATCGCACAATCTTGTGCATCACTTATTCTTAAAAATAGGAAATTACTACACTCATTCTCCATCATTGGTATCTTTTTTAGTTTCGTCCAAAATAGTATTAAAAGGATTTTAGTAAGCAAGAATCTTTCATCTCTAAGCATTTCCACACTCTATTGGAATAATCAGTCAGGTATACTAGCTTTCACCCTTCATTTTCTTTAAAGCACCTTAAAACTTTCGGTTTTTTTCTAATAACGCCGAAAAAACTAAATCTTTTATTTTCTAATTTAGGGTGGCTAATGGTCACTATAGTTAAATCTTTTTTCAATTTTTCATTAAAAAGTTGCCAAAATATATCTATCCACTTTGTTTAATATCATCTTCTAAAGAAAAGTAATTTTTTGATCTTCATCCTTGAATACACTTCACTTGAAGTATAATCCTTTACTACTCTTCTCTTTGTTTGGTAACTTATACATATATCTTTTCTTCGCCTCCTTAGTATCATAATATATTTATAAATCAACTAAAAGTAGTTTTGCATCGCATATGACAGGGACTGTGGAGGCAACCTCTTTATATCTTTCCCAATTATGAGAATTTTTAAAATTAAATCAATTTTTATAACAAATCTTCTTATTTTTAATCTTTTCTTGCACAATTGGATTCTACCACCAACTATTTTTACTATTAGGAGCTTTTCCCTTTGATACTCCAAGCACATCTTTTGCAATATTCTTAATATCACTAGCCGCTTTTTCCCACATAACATTAGCACATATAAAATCTTAAGATCTAAAATCTTACTCTCAAAAATATTTTTGTTAATATTCTTTAAATGCCCCCATCTAATCTTAGAATATCGTTTTACTTTATTTTTTATTATCTGCTCTTTTATCTTAAAGCCCAAAACTAATAATCGATGTTGGGTACATAAATTTTCACTTGGAATAACTTTACAATCTTTGCAATCTAAACGATCTAATTTTCTTATAAGAAAATAGTCAATATGGGTTGTACTATATCCATTTTTATAAGTGATGAGATGCTCATTCTTTTTCTTAAATAAGGTATTAGCAATTGAAAATTCAGAAGCTAAACAAAAATCTAATATGGTCTTGCCACCTTCATTTGTTGTTCCAAAATCATAGCCACCATGAATGCTTTTAAAATCATCTACCTTTCTACCAATATGTCCATTTAAATCTACTTCAATAAAAACTCTTTCTTCTAGAGGTATCTTTTGTAATAATTCTTCTAAGTCATTCCAAAAATTTAATTTTGAACTCATATCCAAACTTACTTGAGGAGCATAAACACTTATAATATTAACAATCTTATCATCAACAATAATCTTTAAAACTATAATTTTATCTCCAATCCTATTCATTTTTATAACATTATTCTTCATCAAACTCTTATCTATAATAACACCTACACCATTTCTAGTACGACTCCTACCCGAATACCACAGTTTAAATTCTAAACTATCAATTTCTTTAGCCTTCTCTCCAACCCACTTAGTTTCCTGAATGCATAAAATATTTATCTTCCTATGAATCATAATATCTATTAATTCTATTAATTTTTCTGTAAGAGAACATATATTCCAAGTTCCTATCCTAATTTTAGTTTCAAATATGTTAAAAACTTAAAATTAGTCCCTAGATTTCAAATATGTTAAAAAATAATCCAACAAAGATTATTTTGGATCATATTTCAGACTTAGATATTGGATGGCTAGGACTAAAATGACTCTAAATAGTTTATGAATCATTTGAACTTTTTCTCAATATTATTTTGTAGGCTTATCAAGCTGCCATTCAAATGTTTTTCATTAAACATTCATTTAGTTTTGATTAAGGGGTTGTTTGGTTTGAAATAAAAGGGTGTAAAAGATTTCCAAATATAAGGGTTTTGAGAATATTAGTATTTGATTTCAAGTAAAACAAATGCAATGTAACATTTTGATGCATTCAAAATTCACCATCTAGTTCATTTTTGGTGAATTTGAAATTCTTCATATTTCAGCATTTTTCAAATGCACTGTAAATTCATTGCCATTGCATGCCACCAAGCCCCACCGCCATCGGCCACGCTCGCCTCCACCAATTGTCGTCGAAACCACCAACCACCCACCTCCGCCAGCCACCATCGTCGCCAAGGCTGGCCACCCCTGCCAGGCACCTATCACCAGCCACCACATTGACCACTAACCACCACCTTCTTTAGACTTTACACTGCATTCATTTTACTTCAAGCTAATAAAAAAAAAAAAGAATCCCTTGCATTATTTTTACATTCATCCAAACAACTTCAAAATATTTTTTTTACACTATTATTTTTATATTGTGTTTCTTTTTCAGCCAACCAAACAACCCTTAAACCATATTTGAGTTTTGATTATTTAAGGCTTAATCACATCTTTGCCATGTTTGTAATACAAAACATTGAAAAATTGGTGTCTTGCTTCTTCCTGATTACCTGAACAAACCCATTGGACCTACGTCCTGGACCACACAGAGACGACGAGAGAAATAAGAAAACGTTATCATTATTATAAAAGCATCAAGAAGTCTCATCCGCAAACACATAGAACAATGTAGGTGTGGGCATCAGAGAAATAATTCTACAATTTGTGCCCTATAATAATTTTTTTTTTCAATAAGCTCAATAGTTAATCTAATAAAAATTATGCCCATGCATAAATTTCACATCCACTCTAGGCTAGATATTTTTTGTGTGTGCGCCAAAGAGACTGAGAGAAAGAGTGGGAGAGATGAAAATACCTAGCCTAGTGTGGATGTGAAATTTATGCATATGCGTAATATTAGATTGTCAATTGTGCTTATTAATAAAAATTATTATAGGGTGTTAATTATAGAATTATTTCTCTGATACTCACGCCTGTATATGTGGATGAGATTTCTTGATGTTTTTTATAATAGTGATAATGTTTTCTTATTTACTATGATCATGCATTTAAATATTTTAGTTTATCAGAAAGATATGAGTACTCTATGTTGTCTGATATTCTCATTACTATGCTTTCAATGTTTACCAAGGTATACCTGATTTTGGATGAGTTCATTCTTGCTGGGGAGCTACAAGAAACAAGCAAGAAGGTTAGCTTTCTTTTGGTTGCCCCTTTTCTATCTTTTTTTATGCATAAATGCATGTCACACATTCATTCAGCTATTTGTTTCATTCAAACTGTATTTGCGTAAAGGCTTCTTTTCAAGGTTGATAAGTTATTCTTCAGCACATTTGAAGTACTGCAGGCATATCTGTGCTAAATATATCCGTGAATGGCTTTAGTTCATGGAAATAAATTGACACTAACTTATACACATGTATCTCTAAGCTGTTTACTAAACAGACATGTTTTGTTTTCTTAATCTGTGAAATCTGCAATGCCAAGGTGTTATCAACGTATAGTGAAATGAAATTGTCAAAGATTATCATCCTAGATACAGCTAGGATAGAATGTTTTTTTTTTTTTTTTTTTTCAAATTTGCTGTTGC